ATTTCTTTACCTGTTTTCCAAAACATTCTTAGTAGAGTCATTTTACTTATTCTTTACAGTTTTGTCTTTTTGTATATAGTAACTGATATCTTATTATTGGGAGTTTAAGTTGTTGGTTGTTTATTATTCCAAAGAACACTAAGATAAATAGCTCTGTTTAATATTTTAGAATTGTGCATTGGACGTACAGTTTCCAACTATAATATTTAAGATTTTATAAGACAATTTTAGCAGATCACTTTAGTTTGATTCTGTCAAAATTATTTGATTTCACCTAGATTTTATTCCATTTTAAAATATTATTAAGAGAAACATTTTGCCTGAATACTTCAGTATGATATATTTTAACTGGAAATAGTACTAATGTTTTTACATTAAAGTAGATATAATGAAGTGCATGGTTAATAGACTTTTTTCACTTTATATGGGAGATTGGCTCTGTGTAGTATAGGGTTTATTAGTTTAGAAAGTGCTTAATAAGTGTTTAATAAGTAAAAAGATTCAGACGAATTTATGATGAACAAAATCATAAAAGAGTGTTAAAAAAAAACCTACTCCTCCATTCATGATAATAGCTTTCATTCTCATTAGGAGATATGACAGCTAAGTACAGTTGAGGAACTCTTGACTGTTAAATGAGAACTGTGAAATGAAGTAGGCTTTTGCTTTAATTCACCTACATATTAAACCATGACTCAGACTGGAATTGATTAAATGTTAATGAGCTCTACTAAACTGACCCAACTGTAACATTTGTGTATTAGATTTATGTCAATTAAAACAAGAATAGTTTTACCTCTGTCATTCTTTAACATCTTTGAGTCTACCTCTGCTTTATAAGGGAAGTGCTAGTGGTTATTTAAATATTAATAGTTTCCATTAAAGGGCTCTGAAGGGTTGTAGCTGGAAGGCTGAGGATAGATGGCAGGATTGGTTTCTTGTTTTGCCAACTCCCCCACCAAGGAGTGAGGGTGACAGACCTCTTACTGGAAGAGCTTCTTCCATTATTTTTTTTAACCACATTTTTTTTCTAAGTTAGACAGTGGGATTGTTGATATCAGGGAGTCTTTGAAAGTAGCTATGCTATTTAAACATCAGTGTAACACATAATTATAAAAAATATCTTAATAGGGCCATAGTGGCCATTACCCTTGGGCTTCTTGGGAATTTAATTTCAGTTTTTAGAAATTCATTCTGTTCTTTATTATAGTCGATACTAGGCAAGAGCGTTTTTTAGCTCCATGTTTTATTTCCTTGGGCTTATTTACATTCAGTGTGAGGAATTCTATTAAGTTAATTTTGGGAGACACAAGGATCATATATTCGATCAAGTTATGAGTATATACTTTGGTCTTGATGGGAAAATGTTGTTGAAAAGCTGTTTAAACTTGCTACAACCAATATTTTCCTATATGCCAAACTTGTTTGTGATAAGCATGTGGTTAATAGATTGTTACATATTTTGTATTTTAAAAATGTCCTAATAGCTTGGCATTTTAAAGCACTGAACAATCAGAAGCAAGTATTATTTTTGCCTAATTCTATATTTCTTTTTGCATCTAGTAATCTGAGTGAATAGAGTATTTAATGCATTTTATTTAGAATTTAGCACTAAGAATGTGGATCATGCTTAAATAGCAAGCAGTAGTGCAGAATGATGATGGTAGTGGATACTTGCTACAACCAATATTTTCCTATATGCCAAACTTGTTTGTGATAAGCATGTGGTTAATAGACTTTTACACATTTTGTATTTTAAAAATGTCCTAATAGCTTGGCATTTTAAAGCACTGAACATTCAGAAGCAAGTGTGACAATAGAGAGAGGCAACGGTCTCAAGTGGAAAATTGGAGAGAATGTGAAAAACAAAACCTGAGTAAGCAAAATAAATAGTACTTTAATGCAGTATTTGAAAAAAAAATCCATACAGTGGAGGAAAAAACTATGACAAAAAAAAAATATCCTATAGTGCTAGCCTCAGACTGAAGTTAAATCCTAGTTTCTCTGCTTTCACACCCTTGCCAGAGAAACTCACTTGTGTCATTTTTCTTATCTAAAGGTGGTGATAGGAATTGTCAGTTTCCTGATGGATTTATTAGGAGATTCAAATCAGCTAAAAATACATGGAAAAGCCCATTGTAAATATGACATACATTTATATACAAAAAATTAAGTAACTCACCATACTATTTTAAGCCATTATAGTGATCAGCCCCAAGAAATACTCTCAGCAAACATAGGATTTGAAGAATCTCAGAAAACTTTGTTGCAAATATACTTTGGGGCCTAAATTGTTGAGTTTACCTGTAGGTAGTAATGGGGGAGGGACCCGAAAATAACTGGAGACCCCTCTCTCTTTTCTTTCTTCTTTATTCTTGGATAAAAAGCCTGATGATTTGTAAGAAATGGGGGACATAACCATAATCCACTGCTCATTTTAAATTCTCCGTGAATCACTGAGGTCTTCTCATCTTTGCTGAAGTTGCTGTTCCATTCACTGGCGGTTCCTTTGCTGAGTGCCACCACCTTTTATTCTCATCACCTTTGGTAAGGACGTCACCTGAAATGAGCTCTTAATCCTCTGCCCTGCTATAGAGGCACAATGGTCTTTAATACTCATTTGGTTATCAGTTATAAACTCCTTGTTGCCTTGAGGTTTTATCTTCTCTTCCACTGAGTTTACTTTCTATGCCACATTTTAAAAAATATATAAATTGTTCTCCAGTTACATTATAAATATGTCATCATCAACATCAGAGTGAGCAGGGTCTGGGTCTGTCTTTTTCGTGGTCCTATTCAAGGTGCTTGGCAAAGGGACTTTCCAGTCAATTAAAAAAATTTCAAGGGGATAAATGAATTTCTTGCATGTGAAAGAGCTAGGAAATATTAATCTTTGGACTAATATGTGAAATGCTATTGTTTTCCATCCTAGACTCTGAAGAAATGGTTGGTGCCATGTGGAAGGTGATCATTTTCATGGTCCTGCTGACATTCGGCCCCTGTGATGGGCTGTTTCAGTCCATATACCGAAGGGCCCAGGTATCCATGCCACCCAGGGGAGATGCAGGACAGCCTTTATTCCTTACCCCTTACATAGAGGCTGGGAATCTCAAGGAAGGTGAGTTTGAGTTGGAAAAACACTGGCATACTTTTAACAGTTTGGGGTATTTTCTAAGCAGTTATCTCACAAGATGCAAAATATATTCTGATATTTTTACTTTATTGTTTTATTTTAAATATTAATGATTTAGTGCCACATATTGCCTGAATTCTGAGCTAACACAAGAAGTAGGGTTGGATTATTTACGTGGTCCAGTTGCAGCCTTTTTACTTATAAAACTGGTGAGTGCCTGTCCCCAGTGGGCACTTGACAAGGCTGCTACTAACCTGGAAAGTGCCTACATGTCAGTCAAACATTCTGCATGAACTTATTTACAATCTCAGCAAAGCGAGGTGGACCACCTTGTACATGTGAAAACTAAAGCAGCGCATGGGAGAACTTGCTAGAGTCCATGCAGACACCACTTGTTGGATGCAGGCTTTCCATGCAGGTGGCATCACCACACCCACCTTGCTGTGCCCCTCACCTGGCGAGTTACCCACACAGCTAGGCCTCAGTTTTCTCACTAATAAGATGGAGATTTAACAACTTGCTCAACTTGCATAGTGTTAGACATTAAAAAAAATTTTTTTAAAAGCAGGTGAGAACTCTTTGTAAATTACTCTCTAGGTATTAGTGTTTGCTATTGGATTTATTTATAGATTGTGAGCTTTTCTATGAGTATTCTGAAAAGAAAAGTATAATTTGATGTTATCAGAGGCTAAAATTTGTGCACCCCATCTGCTTTTAATGCTTCTTCGTGCTTAGGTAAGGCGCAGTGTGGATAAATGACTTCATTTCTCTGAGTCAGCTATTTTGAGGAGCCCTGTAAAGAGCAGCAGAGAAATAAAGTGTTGGCCAGAAGCAAAGGTGGGGTCCATAAGAGTCTTTAAAGGGACAGGAGATAAGGTGTTTACTGACAGCAATGATAGGGAATCCCAGGAGTGAGGGAACTGCTCTTAAAGGCTGTTTAAGAAGAGGGAGACCTGGAGGCACTGGCATTTGCTCAGGAGCTTGAAATTTGTCCTGAGAAACACACAAGAGGGCAGAATTTATGCCTGTGTGGCTAGGAGGTTGGTAGGTGGGATGGGAATGCGTGGAACTGCAATTTTAGGGATATGATCATTTTAGAGATCAAAAATAAGTCTAAATACTCTATAATGAAGTTTACAACAGAAGATTGTCTTTATTTCAAGAGTTCATACGGTGAACAGAATGTGATCGTTTTTTTTTTCTTTAAAATCAAAACATTCTTGTATCTTAAGGATCTGTTTAAGTTCTGCTTATGTCTTCTTTTTTAGAAATACATGTCCATGTCAGCTCCAAATTTTACCATCTCTTTCTAAGGAAAGGTGAAAAGACTTTGATAGTATGTACAGTGTATTTTAAAAAGGACTCATTTTTACTTAATGTAGAAAAGTTGTGACTAGATGGCTGCCCGATTGTGTAGGCAAATTCTTTTTTCAGTTTTTTTTTCTGCCTTCCTCCCTCCCTCCCTCCCTTCCTTCCATCTTCCCTTCCTTCTTTCCTTTTCTTCCTTCCTTCCTGGGGATTGAATTCAGGGCCTTTGCACAGAGCTACATCTCCAGACTTCCTTTTAAAAAAATACTTTTCTTTTTTTAAATTTTAAGACAGGGTCTCGCTAAGTCACTCAGGCTGAACTCAAACTTGGGGTCCTCCTGCCTCAGCCTTGCAGAGCATGTTCACCCAGACCCAAACTGGATCACAGAGTGCTCATCTTTACATTCCTTAAAAAGTAGATACTAATGATTTCACTTATGTTCATTAACAATAATTCGAGCGGACCATTTACTTTAGAGCTGAAAAGGAATTAAATAATCATTATAACCAAACCTTACCACTCCACAGATGAGAAGATCAGGATTCAAATCTCTTACAGGACATGCCCGAAGCGATGCAGCTAATAGAGATGGGGTAGCAGAGATGTATGTAGGACCCAGTCTTCAGACATCTGCTCTGTGATTTGCCTGCTATAATTTATTTATTTGCTAAAGAAGCTGTGGTCTTCTGAAGTAATGAGATACATGTGCACAAAACAATTAAGGAATAAGGCAATGCACCCTAAAGTTATAAAATATCACAGCCGAATTAGGTATGCTGGAAATTTTGAGAAGAAAGCTATTGATCAACATTATCAAGGGGAAAATATGAGATATGTATGAACAAAAATATGACAGATGTTTAAATAAAAAATTTGTTAGAGTAAAAGACACATACTCCCTTTGGCTTAGAACACCGTTTTTGCATCATTCTTGCTATTTCCTGAAGTGGTTCTGGAAGTTCTCTTTTGTGAGTGTCTTTAGTTGTGCTTTTCTGGCCTCTTCGGAGTCCTGAATAGCTTCAAAATGTCTATGGCAATTTCTGTCAAATACCAACAGTACAATGTGTCCCCATCCATCTTATTCACCAGGTCTGCCTCTTTCCCTAAAGTCAAAATGACCATGGAAAGGTAAATGTTCTAAATTGACTCAGGGCATCAGAGCAACCATGACCACTCAACTAAAGATACCAATGAACAAGGACTTCCAGGACTGCTTCGGAAAGTGGCAAGAATGGTGGAATAAGTGTTCAAAGGAAGAGGGGGCATTTAGGGGAGGATTCATGTCAATGTGTCTCTTATTGTCACAAATGTTTTAAGAAGTTTAAGTATTCATTGGATATTTTGATCATACTTCTTAACACTACTGCTAATAGTAAAAATAATAGATAATAACATTTTGTAATCATATTCCTAGTACCCAGAATAATACCAGTATGTAATAAGCACTCAATAAATATTTGTGCAATTTAAGTTTGAGTCATAACCATGTGACAAGCATTGTGTTTCTTCATCTATTAGCTCAATAAATTCTCACAGCCACCCTAATGAATATATATACATATCATTTGTATTTCATAGATGAGAAAACTGAGGCCCAGAGAAATGATGTACTTTGTCCAGAGACCTAAAATTAGGGAGTGACAGAGTTAGAATCATGGCCTATGCCTGCCAGTTCCAGAGCCAAAACTATGGACCACTCTGCTGTGTGATTTGCTTCAGACCTGTGGGTGTGGATAAAATCTGAATAAGAGGGAAAGGTCTGTGCCTGTGGAATGAGAGCAGTAGCATAAAAAAGGCATTAAGTGAAAGTGACCATGGAGTGTCTGTGTCATGCATCTGATAGAACCAAGTGAAAAGAATGTTGAGAAATCCACCTGAGGGCTTGTCTACACCCCTCCTCTTCTGCTTTTTTCCACTTATGAACATTTCATCATGACTGGAATAAGCAGTAGCAGAGAATGATTCCAAAGGTGGTGGGGTAGTTGATCTTCTGTCCTTCTGTGCTGGGCCTGGTAGATCTTCATCTGATCAGTGCCAGTATTTAAGATTTTAAATTTGTATATAATGTCACTTTTCAAAGTGACATTATACAATCAAAATCTTTGAATGGAATTTTAAGTAGCTTATCCAAAAGCTGATACATCTAGGCATTCACATGCAATCCTGACAACATAATTAAAGATAATCTTATTCATCCGCTTTACTGAAAGTTCAGGAAGCTCTGGACAGATGGTCAGCTCACTCCCCTAATTCCCTTTTGTTTATCAAGTCTGTCAAAACACTAGGAACATGTGTCTTAATATCACAGTGGAACACTTTTGAGATAAACACTAGTTCACAAAAAGACAAGGGCTTTTTAAAAAAATTTCCAATTAGCTGGCTTAGTTTTATGTAATTGTAATTACATGTTTACTTTCTCTGCAGCTTAGAGTAAATCCTTACTTTCTGACACAAAATGAATGCAAAAAGCAATTTTAGCATATTTATATACAGTGAATTTTCACCAATTTTAAAGAATGCTTTGCTATAGGGTCCTAATTTATTACTCAGGGGTTGGTAGTATTTTGTCTATACCCGTGATGATTCAAGTGTTGTGAATCTTAACTTGCACCATGATTTGCTGGCTCAAGCTGTTCTTTGTCCACAATCCAATCTTTTTGAAAGTGTTAGTTTTGTAAACACTCCTAACAGCAGTAACAAGGAGGAAGTGAAATCACTTCAAAGAAAACCTTTTCCTTTTCTTAACTGTTTTTAAACATTTATATGGTGAGTCATGGTGCCAGAAAGATAAAAATTCCTACGTCATGGCAGTTTGTTTCCACATTCCATTAATAGATTCTGGAAGCATACACAGGACATTAAAAAATACAAAAAAAATCCTATTAGTTGAAAGAACTTTTAATAATTTTACTGTGATTTGATGAATGGGAACTTAAAATGTGAAACAGGGCAGAACACTCTTTTATGAACTATATCACTAGAGAAAAAGATTTCCTAATGTTTTAAGATATCCACAGGGCTTGCCTTCTTTAGGAGGTTTTTATAAAAATAAGTGAATTCTAGAGCAATGTCACTGGCTGTTGTGGTTCATTCATTATTTTCTCATTCTCTCATCCACTAGTTAACATTCATTCATTAAAAAGTATTTATTGTATGTCTTTAGTGTGAATCAGCATGGTGAGTCCCAAGGGGTACAAAAATAAATAAGACAAATTCCCTGCTTCCCAACAGCTCCTGATGGAGGGGGGAAGGGAAAAAATGTTCCTAAGTACAAGGCAGGGAGGGATGAGTGAACATCTGAATTGTTCTGAGAGCAGGCCAGAGGACCCTGGGCTGCGCTAGTCTGGGAGACAGATGGATTCAATCATCTTTGGCCCATATTCCATTCCCTCCAGCTCCTTTCTATTATATATTTTTTCTTTTTCTCATTATACTTTGACCTTTCTCATTTTTCTCTGTCTTCTTTCTCAGATCTTTTCCTGACTGTTCACCTCTCTCTGCTCAGTCCACATTTCATCATTACCAATTCTCAATTTTTACTTTTTTTGCCCTCTTTTTGTGGGATGAATGGATGGATGTATCTCTGGTTTTCTGAGGAATAATTATTTTGTTTAAGATATGTCATAAGCATTGTAAAGGTTGTTTGATCCTAGAATGTGATCTTTCTTTGTGCTAATCAAGAGTAGAAATAAAGCAGAGGACAAGAGAAATGATGGCTGGAAGGAAGAGTGTAGAGTGGAGTTAAAAGGAGCCAGAAAAACCACATTCCACAGACACCTTCCTTTACTTGGTTGTCAAATCTTCTCTCTTTTTTTATTGCCTTTTTCTGGTGTGAAGATGTTTTAGTACATTGGCTGTTACTGTAACTGTGTAGCACAGACTGAATACTTTACAAAGACTAAAGGTTTATTCAGCTAATAGCTCTAAGGGCTAAGAATTTCAAGGTCAGATAGCTAAATCTAGTGAGGTCCTTCTTGCTGGTGGGGACTCTGCAGTGTCCTGATGCAGTGAATGGCATCACCTGGTGAGACAGAATATCTCATGTCAGCTTTCTCTTCTTCTTATAGAGCCACCGCCTCATTAGATTACGGCCCCACCTTCAGGGCCTCCTTTAATCTAAATTGCCTCCCAATAGCCTCACCACAAGCGGATTAAATTTCCACTCCTGATAATTCACAGTGGGTGTTTAATTTCAACATGAGTCTTGGTAGGGACCTTCAGGCCATCATAGGAGGGACAGGTCTCACTGGGCAGAGAATGGGAAGAGCTACAGAGTTTGGATTAATTATCCTTCCCTGGGAGAACTGGGCTGACCCAGAAAAGGGAAAATCTTCCAGACTTCTAGACCTCACCTGGCATGACCTGTGGGCTAATGATAACTGTGCCTCTCATTGATTAGACCTTCATTTTATGTCCAAGTCCTTGCTGAGCATGTTCATAAGCATTTTCTTCATTTGATCCTCACCTGGCACCCATAGTGAGGGAATCAGTGTCTTCATTTTGCCCAAAAGGAGAGGCTCAGAGGTAATGAGACTTGCCAGGGGCCTGGTTGGAATTACAAGCCAAAGTCTGTCCAATTGGGAAGCCCATGCTCTTCTCTGATGCCAGCCTAGCAGGATCCTAAGGCAACTAACTGCCCATTGAGACCTTCCTTTGTCCCCACCATGGCCTCTACTCCTATGTGCTCCCCGTTCTAGTACTCAGGTACATTTCACATGTAATCGGCCGGTGACAATAGCTGTGTTCCCTGCAGGTGTCTTCCTTTTGCAGGTTCAGCATGTGAGGACTCATGTATTCCTGTGGCCCTAAGAGGTATCCGCCTTTCATAGATGAGAAACTGAAGCACAGAGGGGCTTATAGCCCACAAAGCTTATCTATAGTGGTGCTAGGATCCACACAGTGCTCAGAAGGAGGAACTGTGTCCTGGATGAGGTCCCCTTTGGGAAGGAACTTGTGAAGTTTCCTTTGAAAAAGGAACTTGTGGCCTCTGAGTCATGGTGTGTTGGTGAGAGTTTAACCACTAGCTCTCAGGGGCAGGGCCAGGACTGTGGCACCAATTCCCTGGGATGTAAATCTTCTTACTACGGCTGATTTCACGCAGTTGATGATATGGCTGAGAGCCGAGCTGGGGACAATGCTAACACAGTGTTCCACAGACAGTTGTCTCCTGCCCAGTACTGAAAAGTCTCCACTAAAGGACTCTGCCCCTCCACCTGGACTCCCCATCCTTTCTTGTCATCCGCTCTGCTCACTTTCTATTCCTTTTCCACTCCCTACCAAATCACTATTTCTCCCATTCTCTGCAACTTGCAGCAACTGACCAATCTGAGAGGCCCTGTAGCAAGGCAGGGGAAATAACAAAACCTGCAGCCTGACTGCTACCATATTTCCCCCAAAATAAGACTGGGTCTGATATTAACTTTTGCTCCAGGTGATACAGTAGGGCTCATTTTCAGGGGATGTCTTATTTTTTCACCTACAACAATCTACATTTATTCATATAAAAATCTACTTTTATTCAAATACAGTCACGTCATGTCTTCTGAAATATCGTCATAACTCCCTCAGCCCCAAATACTATCCTGAATTTCTTGTGACTCCATTTCCTGTAGAACCACTGGCCCCAATCTTGCATGTCAGCAGTACAGCCCTCTTTAAATAAGCACTTCTTGTCCATGTATCCTGTTTGTAGTACACTGGCAACACAGCTCTCAGAGATTTTATCCTATGAATTCATCACCCAAGTCATGTCATCTTTCAAGCTGGGCTCCCCCAAGTTTCCATTAAATAAGTGTTAATTGAAGGCTTACAAGACAGGAGTGGCAACAAAAATGATGACAGTGAAGAATCATGGTCCACACAAAAGCAACAAGAAATTGCAGGTACTAAAATTTGGAAAACATTTCTTTACTTCACATGAGTGCCTTAAGTATGTCTGTTGCAACACATGACATCAAATTATAAGGATTCATATTAGACACAACATGTCCATTTATTATCAGATGTGCATGTTTTTTCCTGCATTGTATCTGTACTCTTATTGGTCACTGGGCAATAAGTTTGGAGCTCATCTGTTTATTTTTTATTCCTTAAATTTATTGATACATTTTAGACATACAGTGTGATGACATTTATCATTGGGAATTTGGACCTTTATATGATATATCTTTGTTCTTATTTTTTTCTTAGTCCCCTGTTCTCCCTTAAACCCTTCCACACTTCCCCATTTACAATAACTTTGTTTCTGATTTCTCATATTTGTTTCCTTTCCCTTTTTTCATTTCCCCTACCCCTCCCACTTCCTCTTCCCTTTTGGACCTTTTCTTCCTATTTCACATTATTTATTATACATTTTGATCCTTATTTACACTTTCAGGTTCTCACACCAGAGAAACTATGCAGTATTTACACATGTGTGTCCTGTTTATTTCTCTTAAGCATATGGCATCAATGTGCATCCATTTAGCTATAAATATATCTAGTTTCTTAATATTTATGGCTGAGTAGTACTCCATTTTATTAAAAACCACATCATTTTTATTCAGTCTCCAGTTGATGGGTAATTGGGCTGTTTCCAAGTTTCAGCTATTGCAAATTGTGCTGCTGTAAACATGGGTACATATATATTACTGTGATATGATTCTTTTAATTCTTTTGGGAAGATACCCAGAAGGGGAATATCTGGGTGAAATCCTAGTATTTTGAAGTATCTCCATACTGATCTCCACAGTGGTTGTACCAGTCTACACTTCCTCCAAGCATGGAGAATTCCTTTTTCCCCACAATCCCACCAGCATTTGTTATTGGTTAATTTTTTGATAGCAGCCATTCATTCTGGGGTGAGGTGGAATCTCAGTGTTATTTTCATTTGAATCTTTTGAATGACCAGTGATAATGAGAAATTCATCAGTTTATATAGGCATTTGCTTTTCATCCAAAATCACCCACTTGGGTATTTACAAATACTTAATTATAATTTATAGTATCATTTATTTTAAGTATTAATATCAATACTGCTTACTTATACTTAATTATATATTAATATATCATTGTATAACTCAGTTTGTCTATCACATTGCAATGGATGGTACTAAATCCATCCATCTGGCTGATTATCTTAACTGGGGCTTATTTTTGGGGTGGGCTTATATAAGGAGCATCTTAAGAAATCACACTAGGACATATTTTCCAGTTAGATCTTATTTTGGGGGAAACATGGTAGGTTTTAATCCCAGCTCTCCTTCACTACCTATACGACCTTGGGCAAGTTGCTTAACCTCTCTGTGTTTCAGATTTTTCATCTGTAAAGTGGAGATAATAATTATGTCTCCCACATAATGCAAAGCCCTAGTTACAGTGGCCTTGTAAGCGCTAACTCTTGTTAGTATTAGTTACACCTAGGTGTCATCGGCTGACTGAGGTCCCTCTTCTTTCCGTCTCCCTGCCTCTTTGCTGCCATAAGAAAGCCAGGATCTCCTTGTTCTGCAATGCTCCATGGATGGCTTCCCCAGAGGAGCCATGAGATCATCCCAGCTCACTGCTTGCCTCTCCCTTTTCCCCACCACCTCCCGCCAAAATCCCCTTAGGCCTCAGTCCCCCTCTTATGCAAAAGGCTGTGGAGATTACAGTCCTCCCCAGACCTGAGAACCGCTGAGATGCATCATTTGCTTGCACCTTATTTCTTTTGGGTCAAGTGGCTTTATCTTGCCCCTTTCTGTGTGGCCCAGTGTGAACATTGTGCTTTACTCTAAGTATAATAGGTGATTTTCTTTTCATTTTTAAAAAAAAAAACTTACACAGTTCATAAAGTATTTTTGGATCATACCCAGCCCCAAAATGCTTAAAAATGTCACTCATTCCTGGCAAAACTGTTAATACGGATGACGTTGGATTGGCCAGAGAAGGCTGAAATTTGCTGTGGTAATGCCAAGCCCCTTGGGGCCTCTTCAATCACTTCTTCCTGGATCTGGTTCCTGGGGCAAGTCTAAGACTGAGATTGCTCACATGGCATTTTTCTCTGATCCTTGAATACATTTCCTTTTTATCCACCAGGGAAAGAAGTGAGTTTGGTCAGACCTTTTTCAGAATTGAATGTGAAGAGTTACGCTGGCTACTTCACTGTGAACAAGACTTGGAACAGCAACCTCTTCTTCTGGTTCTTCCCAGCTCAGGTAGGCCATGAAGGGGCCCAGTGGGGAGACTGGGTGGTAAACCTTGCTTTTGTGAATGGGAACACACACACACACACACACACACACACACACACACACGCACTTACGCTGGCTACTTCACTGTGAACAAGACTTGGAACAGCAACCTCTTCTTCTGGTTCTTCCCAGCTCAGGTAGGCCATGAAGGGGCCCAGTGGGGAGACTGGGTGGTAAACCTTGCTTTTGTGAATGGGAACACACACACACACACACACACACACACGCATGCACACACACAGCAACGCTGAGTGGCATTCCTGTTTATGGGCAGAAAACATTTTTGTAGAGGTTAGAGGGGATCCAACTTTTAAATGTCTTGCAACCTTATTTGGAATATTAATACTACCACTTTCTTCCTGCCACAGTCTTCTTCCTCTTATTTTGTTGCTTTGTTCTAAAAATAGTAGGGTTAGGATGGACAGTGGGTCACCTACCCCAGGAGGTGGAAAGGAATGAGGGGTCGCTGAAATGAACAGGTAACACATACGTCAGTTGAGTCCACCTCACTCTCCTGTGGCTGCCCTGTCTGTGGGCTGTGCAGGTCACTCACCTTCTTAGGTCCCTCAAGACACATCTGGGATATCTGTACTTTTGCCAATACTATTTAAATAGCTCACTTCCAAGTGCATGAAGTAGACACTTTAAGTTTTGGGGTGCTTTTGGGAGTATTGATAGAGGCGTTGGGATGCTTAAATTTTATCCCACACACAATGCAAAGTAATTTTCTATTTTTACTCTCTAAAATGGATTTGCTTTAGAGGCAAAGAAAGGCTATCCCTTGGAGGGTGGTATTCATATTTACATAGATTTACATATAGCAGTATTACATATAATAACTGAGGAAATTGTTTAAGCTAGGGTAATTTTCAAATTAAATGGTTTTTAATGATACTGTCGGGCTGTATTTTCTTCACTTTTCATTTCTGCTTTCTCAACCACATAATGAGACCATTCAAACCAGTCTGTTGTGGGGTGGGATGAGGTAGAATGGAGGTGGGGCATATGAGTAATGTAGAAGAATTCCAGGTATTTTTTTTTGGTGTCAGACTGTCACCTCTAGACCCTAGAGGGAGTTTTTCATTTCCTCCTCAGCGTTACTATTGAATGGGGAAAATCAAATGCTTTCAGTTCAGAATTTAAGGAGATCCCTCAGGGCAGCACCAGTGCGAGATCAGCACCAAGTGTGAGAGCTCTCCAGTCTCCTGTGCCTCTCCTTGTGGTGCCCAGCTGGAAACCAGAGTGACAAGGAGTACAGTGGTGCTGTCTGTCCCCAGAGCTCTTCTACCAGGGCACAGAGAAAGATGCAGAAGGTGGATAATGAACCTTTAGAAGCAGGCAGAAGATACCAGCTTAACTTTCTTAAGACTTGATGTAAATTAAGCTTAGCCTAGAAATAGGACTGCTTTCTAATAGCTGGGATTTATTTTTTCTTTTTCTTTCTTTTTTTTTTTTTTTGATTAAAAAAAATTTGGTCACATATGTTTCAGACATCAGATATATACTTGAGTACAATCTAATTTGATGATTTCTGTGAGGTCCTAGCATGTTTTTATTCTCAAAACCATCTTTGTATCTTGACTTCAACATCTATATTTATTTCTTTATTCCACACATCATTAACTAGTCTCTATTTACTCCCTAAACTCTGCTACCCAAGTCTCTCTGAACTGTCTTACTTAATGATCTAGAAAATATAAATGTGGATTTATTAAAGATCAGCATATAAAAATTGAACATCTTTGTGGGATATTATGTGATGCTTTAATAAGTGTAAATATTGGATAAAATATTGCACATATTTTGGGGCTACCAAATGATACATGTATATACTGTGTAATGTTCAAATTAGGATGAGCATATTTAATTTCTCAAATATGTATCATTTCTTTTTGGTGAAAACATTTAAAATCTTTTCTGCTAGCTTTTTGGAAATATACAAGGCATTACCAAAATCTCTAGTCACCAGACCGTCTCCTAATTGTAACTTACTACCCACTGACTAGCCTTTCCCCAACCCTTCCTATATGCTACCCTCTTCTTGTAACTACTGCACCCTCAACTTCTGTAAGATCGACATTTTTATACTCCTCAGTTGAGTGAGCTCCAGGAGTATTTGTCTTTTTGTGGCTGGCATGTTTCACTTAACATAATGTCCTCCATTTCCAGTTACGTTGTCGTAAGTGACAGGATTTCATCTCTATTTATGGCAGAATAGTGTTCTACTGTGTGTATTTACCACATTTTCTTTGTCCATTCATTAGTTGATAGGTACTTGGACTGAGTCTATTTCTTTTGGTGGGAATGTAAATTCATACAGCCATTATGGAAAACAGTATAGAGGTCCTAAAAAATTTAAAGCAGAACTACCATATGATCCAGCAATCCCAAGTGCAGGGCATATATCCCCCCAAATAAAATTAGTATGTCAGAGAGATGTCTGCACACCCATGTTTATTGCAGCACTGCTCACAACAGCAATAAAATGGTATCAACCTATGTTTTCTGTTTTTTGTTCTCTTAAATTCTATGCATTCCAGAAACTATTCTATTTTATATCACATCTATCAATATCATTAAATATGGTCATTTATTAACTTTTTTATATTAGTTGTCTTTGCTACTATAACAATTTGTCCCAAACTGAACATTTTAAAACAACATAGATTTTATCATTTCACAGTTTTTTGGGTCCCACATCTGACTAAGGTCTCAGTGAGCTCAAGTGAAGGTGTGGAGAGGTCTTTGGTCCCCTTGAATGCTCCAAGGGAGAATTCATTTTCGTTGCCTCTTGCAGTTTCTAGATGCTACTTGCCTTCCTTGGTTCATTCCTTTCTCTGTTTTTGAAACCTGCAGTGTCAGGCTGAATCCCTCACATAGCTGAATCCTTCTCACATTGCATCACTCTAATAATTTCTATTCTTTTGTCACTTTGCTTTCTTTAATTCATTTTCTGCCTCCTTCTGCTGCTTTTAAAGGCCTTTATTATTATGCATAGGTGATCCAGAGTAATCTTATTTTAAAGCTAGTTGATTGGCAGGCAATCTTATTTCTTCTTTCCCCTGGAACCTAACAGAGTCACAGATTCTGCAGATCAGGGCATTCAGGGGGAGCTATTATTCTGCACAAAAGACATACTTGATGATTTTGTTTAGATTGGTGATTCTCAACATGTTCCTCAGTGATTTTCACATTTTGTAGGGCTTAAGATTCCCTCTGATTTCCCTCAGCAATTCTGACTTAAAAATTGGGAGAGGCCTATAAGTTGCAAAATTACCAGGTGAACCATACTTCCTGAAACCACTGCTTCAGCCTTTGGGCCTCTGCCCTGTGCCTGTAGCCCCTGGCCCCAAAGTGGCCCACATTTTCACTGGAGAGAAGCACCTAAAGCAGTCAGCTGAGCTGCAAGGTGTGCATTGTTCCCTGTACCTACGCAGCATGAGGGTCAGAATGGGCATCTAGAGAGACAAGTTCAACGTTTGGAAATCAGCTTTTGTAATCCTGCTTGAACCTGTTGAGTTCAGCCTCTACCTCATGCATCCTCCTCTCACTTTCTGCTCCCTGACCTCCACCTCAGGTGCAGAAACCCGATTCCTTTCTCTTCTGCTTTGTCACCTATTTATATACCACTAAGTTTCTCATTGACTTCCAAATAATCCGGATTTGTAAAAACAAGAATTCATGGTAAGGGAAGAGATCAAGCAGAAACAAAACAAAAGCCCAGTTTTATTTCTTCCCCTTCCCCTGAGCAGGTGAACAATTTTGTCTAGAATGTAGAGGGTGTCCTGGGACAATAAAATGGTTAGGGGAAAGGGATTCAGGTTCTGCCTGTCCTGCTGTTGTCAGCATAAGGCCTGAAACCTCCGTGCTTTAAACAATGCCTTGTCAGTTAGTGTTCTCTAATTTTTCCTCCTTAATTAATAAAAACCTGACCAGACTGTGTTCTTTTGGATCCACTTCTATTGACATGAATACATCCTTGCGTGATTCAAAAAGACATGAACGTGAGGCCTGCAGAACAGGGAAGGTCTTTAAGTATGTGATGTTCCATTGGAAGTGGTGGATGCAGCTTCAGGGAGAGAGGGACAGAGATAGAAAGACAGTGCCACAGACAGGTGTCACCACCTGGCAGCTGGGATTGATAGTTCCCGGACTTCCTCATCGAGAAGCCCACATGCAGAGCCACATATCCAAAGCTTCCAGCTGTAAATTGTAGAGCAAGACCATTGTGGGGTGAAGTAGATAAAAGCCTGCAAGAAGAAAAGGCACTTGTTTCTAAAACGGGGGAGGCCCTTTCTCTTGGCAGAAATAGGAGTTTTTTGTCCATCACAGGGAAGCAGCTGACGTTGCCATCAGGAGAAAAATGAACCTTTAAAAAACCAAAGGTAGAGAAAAATAGAGATCCAGGAAGGATGCCATACTTGTAATATCCTCTGAGTAATTTTTTGGAATGCTGTGTCTCAAATTAGTTTTTGTCTTCCTGTTATTTCTGAAACTCCCCTTTGCTATTGTATACAAGTCTGTGCATAATAAACTCCAGAACTCCAAATTGGTGGTGGTGGGAATAGAGCAGGAGAAGTGAGTAAGCTTTCTGACTGGCATAAAAAATATAATGAAGCCAATAAAAACACAACAACTAGAGTGGCTGTTGTTAAGTGAACATTGACTACATGCTAAGCCCTGGCTTTTTCTTGCTTAGCCTTATAAAAGTCCCAGGAGGATGGAATTATTCTCCTCATTTTATAATGAAGAGGATGGCAGAAAGTAAATAATACCCCAAGTTACCCAAATAGAAATTGGCAAAACTAGGTCTCTAACCCATAAATCTTTGCTTTTGACCATCATGTGTTAGATACTGAGAAAAGTAAAAGCTAGTCATGGAAGGCAGTAGTGTGTGGTGAACAAAAGTGTAAAAGTATTGCTTCTTAAGCTAGTCAGGCTTTGGTAAAAGTGGCTCCACCTCT